TTTATTATACGAAAACTGTCTCACATTTCCACAAAAAACCTCCTCGATCAATTTTTTGCCAACAAAGACCAAAAATTTTATGAGCGTGGAATTATGCTACTACTAGAAAGATGGCAAAAGGTGTTGGACCAGATCGGTCAATATATTTAATAAAGTATTTGTTTATTATACTAAAACTGTCTTTCATTTCCACAAAACGAAATGACTTTCCGAACAACCCTGTATATACAAAGAGAACAGATAAATTTTGAAACATGTTGAATTGTTGTAAATTAAAAGATACATTTGTTTATGAAATATCTAAAATTTTGAATGAAACTGAACTAAATCCAAATTTTGGTGACTCACCTTTGTAAGAATTGCGGAAAACATTGGTAATTTATTGATTTCGACCAAGTTAAGCCAAGTGATATCGAGAATCCAACGAAAAGGTTTTGGTGCTACCGCATTGAGGTCGAGAGAGGCCCCTCCTTTGATGAAGGCCATAAATTCCTCGTGTGTAATACAGCCTTTGTGCAAGTCTATTTTCATCGCCATCATCAGTGTAAAAAGGATTTTATGCCTTTCGTACAAGCTCCTTTGGGTAAAGGCCCACACCTTAAAGTTTTTGTATTAACTAGACGAAGCGTTTTTTCTACTAATCCTTATTTAAAACAGGACAAAGAACCGAAAAGGAATAAACAAAAGAAGGCGACTCCAAAAAAGAAATAAGAAAAGGATAAAGTTCATGTGGAAGAACGAACCTCTCTGTTGAGATATTGAAGAATATAATTAATCCTTTCTTCGGAATCGCCACTTTTAGTAGACTTAGTAATAGAGTTGTTAAATATGATAAGAAATTGTTTGAGAGAGTTCTGATACATCACATTTACATTACTCATTTCTACGATCAGGAAGTACAAGATAGAACCTCTAGCTGCTACCGGTCGGAATTCTTCTCTGGCAATGTTGATTTTCTTCTCCGTTTGAGCAGAAATAATCAGTTTTTGATTAACTTCTTCGGAAGTAGCTTTTGTTACTTCTAGAACACTAATTAATTCGTCATCATCCACCAGAGCTCCTTTGGTAGAATTCAAACGAACTAGTAAATTGTTTTCCAGTTCTTTCATTCTGTATTGGTTTTGGACCACGGATTCAAACAAAGTTATTCGTTCAGATTCTAATTCCGATTTTTCCATTGAAATTACTCTGCCAAGCAGCTGGTCTTCCAATCCTAGTTTATAAAATTAATTTGCATTCGAATTACTTTATTAATTAAATTAATTAGATATTACATAAATGTTAGAAATGAGAAGGTATTAGAAAGAGTAGGTGAATGAGGCGCACTTCAGAAGTTAATAAGGAAAAAGAGAAATGAGTTAATAGAACACTTCTGAGACATCATGAGATGGTTAGAGGCTTACTAGAAGCAGAAACTGAGGTAGAGAAAGACTTACATTACAGTAGATTATTGTGAGTAGATAGTTATAGAGATGGAACCTTCTGGGACATGAATTGAAGACCTATTAGAAGCAGAAATAGGAGTAAAGAAATGCAGAGGAAGACCAAGATGAGATTATTGTTCGCAAATATTTAGAAATGTGAAAGCTCTGAGTATGTGTCCAATAATCTGCTAATAGATGACTCCGTGATGATTAAAACTAAAACTTGTTTATGTAAAAGAATGAAAATTGGTTTACTATAGTCAAAAACGTCTGGAACAAATAAGAGAAATGAGATAATAGAACACTTCTGAGACATAATGAAATAGTTAGAAGTTTACTAGAAGCAGGAACTGGGGTAAAGAAATACCTACTGTGGAGTAGACTATTGTGGATACATAATTATAAAGATGGAACTTTTTGGGACATGATGGGCTCATTCGAGACATATTAGGAGCAGAAACTGGAGTAAATAAAGACAGAGGAAGACCAAGATGAGACAATTGTTCGTAAATATGTATTTAGAAATGTGAAAGCTCTGACTGCGTGTTCAATAATCTATAAACAAATGACTCCGTGATGATTAAAACTGAAACTTGTTAATGTAAAAAAATGAAAATTGGTTGACTATAGTCAAAAACGTCTGAAACAAATAAGAGAAATGAGATAATAGAACACTTCTGAGACATAATGAGATAGTTAGAAGTTTACTAGAAGCAGGAACTGGGGTAAATAAATACCTACTTTGGAGTAGATTATTGTGGATAGATAATTATAGAGATGGAACTTTTTGGGACATGATGGGCTCATTCGAGACATATTAGGAGCAGAAACTGGAGTAAATAAAGACAGAGGAAGACCAAGATGCGACAATTGTTCGTAAATATGTATTTAGAAATGTGAAAGCTCTGAGTGCGTGTTCAATGATCTGCGAACAGATGACTCCATGATGATGAAAACTAAAAACTGTTTAAAAAAATGAAAATGGCTTTATCATATATGGTCAAAAATGTCTGGAAAAAAGTAATGTAGGTTTGGTATTTGGATTTGCGATGATGGCGAGTAATGTGAAAACTTGATGTTTTATAAATCCTAAAGTATTTTAGTCTACCTTGCATGGTCACAGTGAAATCTATAATGGACGTTTTTGCGCTTATTTCCGGAGAATAAGCAGGATTAGGTAATTTCGTTGTAATGTAGAGCATAAAACCAGGCAGGACGTCGCACTCTTTGTCTCCGACAATTACTTTCTCAATTGACCCGGATTTAATAAAGTTCTTTTCCAATACGTTATCTAACACCGGATCTAATTCAATGTCAATGTCTTCAATGAGAAGAGGTTTACCTAAAAATGATTTGTTCGTTTTATTCGCTGCTTCTCTTTATATTTTAATTAATTTATTTGTGTTTTAAGGTAGATATTTGGCTATAATTAATTTTAATTTTATAAAATAAAATAATTCGAAGTGGTCTGTATTCTGTCGAAACTGCCAGACGCGGATCGCGATTTCGATCCTTTTGGATCTCATCAGCGCGTCGCAGACAGCTCCGACAGAACACAGATCAACCTTTATCTACTGTCTTAACAGCGCGTTTTAGAAGATACCACAAATGGCGTGGTGAGCGCCATCTGTAGTACGATGCTACATTTTAGGATTACGTATGCTCCAACAAGGTCCACTTGAGTGGATATCTACTTGCTGAAACGAATACCGGCGTAGTTAACCTCAACGTGAATGGCACGTTACCATAATGGAATAAAATAAAATAATTCGAAGTGGTCTGTATTCTGTCGAAACTGCCAGACGCGGATCGCGATTTCGGTCTTTTTGGATCTCATGAGAGCGTCGCATGCAGCTCCGACAGAACACAGACCAACTAATCTTATGTTTGAAAGTGCTAAATTTTTAAAAATTTAAGGATAAAAATTCAAGTGCGGACCATAATATGCTTTATAAATTAAATGATTTTATCATTATATCCATATCTATTCATAAAGGAGTTTGTTCTCTACATATAAAATACCTAATGATAAACAATCTTCCAAATGTGTCCTGAAATACTTGTGATTCAACGATGTTATCTGCAATCTGGTGGCTTCTTTGTTTTTGATCCACATTTTTCCTTGATTTTGTGGATCTATCAAGAGTGGATATGATCTGGATTTGGTAACAATTAAAGCATTCTGAACTGACAGTTCGTCCTTAGGCAGTCCTTGAAGGGTCCATTCAGAAACAGTTGCACTGTCTACTAACATATCTGCGATGTTTAACATAGCGGTGTGAGGTATTTCGTGGTTTTGTAGTAAATCGAGCCAAGCATTTACTAAATTCGCTCGGTATTCTTGATTGTATGGACCAGCATACGAAAGGAATCCTGTGGCCAAAAGGACATCGCCCACCAGACGACCTAGAGAAGAATTTTGCAAAATGTTTATGTTCCACTAAAGAAACTGGAATGCCATACCCAGTTGTTCTTTGAAGTCTTTGCTTTGTTGAGTCCATCTTATCTTTTCACCTGCTAAGCCATTGATCAAAGCTGTTGCGGTGTTCATCTTTTTTAAACATGCATTAGCGTCATCTGTTAAGCGTCTTTTTTCTAAAACTGCTGATTCGTATTGTTCTTTGACTTCTTTAAGAGACAGCTCTCTTTCTTCGAGTTCTCTTTCAGCAGCTGCTAAATCTTCCATAGCCACCTAAATTGTATTTGTATAAAACTTGATATACTTATACTCAATCGACAATAAATAATGAAACAAAAATCGAAATAATGAGTTACCTAACTGATTTTTTATGTATTTAATTCTTTAAAAATATTTGTACCTATACTGTTTTCCTGTTTATTGTCAATCCTAAGTAATACTAATTTGTTTCATTTTTCCACTAGTTTGAAAATTCATTCTTAATTTTCATTCACTATAAGTTACCTCAAATTAATGAAGAAAAACTTGTTGCTGTTGTCACATCTTCGCCGGGAATCGAACCCGAAACCTTTGGCTTAAAGCACTACTATTCTTACCACTAATGGTAGGAGAAGCGACAACAGTAACACCAACGAATCGAACTTTTCAGACTACAGTTAGGGTTGCCACCTTTTCAGGCTTTACATAAAGTATTTGTCGACTAAAAGGTTAAAAAAAAGTACTCAGCATAAAAATAAAGTATTTTATTTTTTGTTTTTAAAAACATATTTTTTATTACACCTAGCAGCCAGTAACAAATTGCTGTCGCTCTTAAATACATTAATAGCCTCTAAACTTGAAAAAAAAAAAGATTTAAGTAAACTAAAAATTCATTTTTAATTGGTTTTAATGAAGCTTTATTCCTGTCGTCCCGTCACTTGGCGTTCATAACTGAGAATATTCTTTCTGTAAATGCTGAAGTGGCCGGAACGGACAGCAAAAGTGACACTACTTTGAACAGATT